CTTTTAGTCTTTCATAAATCCATTCTCCACTCTGGAGCCAGAATAATTTTTTTATTTATTTTATTTTTAAAAAGGATTTTATTTATTTATTTGACAGAGAAAGACACAGTGAGAGAGGGAACACAAGCAGGAGGAGTGGGAGAGGGAGAAGCAGGCTTCCCGCTGAGCAGGGAGCCCGATGCGGGGCTCGATCCCAGGACCCTGGGATCATGACCTGAGCTGAAGGCAGACATTTAACGACTGAGCCACCCAGGTGCCCCCAGAATAATTTTTCTAAAAATTTAAAATTTAAGTTTGATCTTATGACACCTACCACCCAGTCTTAACGTACTGCAATCGTTCCCCCAATGTTCGAGTATAGTTTAAGCTTTCCTTTCCTCTCTTGTTTCTTTCTTTTCCCACTTCCAAACACTACAGACATACAAATAATAGATTTCTCACATGCAACACTATTAACTTAGTCTCTCCCTATTTAACATCATTTTCCCAACCTGTTCAAACTCAATTAGGCACCACTCTTTAATGCTTCCATTAAGTAGCTATCCCAAGAATAACTGGTTTTATACCATATGGTAACCATCTGGCTTGTCTTTTCTCCCTCACCTAATAAGTTCTTAAGAGACAAGGATTTGGGTTTTACTTAACAAGAATATTCAATACCTAGTATCTAGAAAAAAATCTGGAAGAGAGTAGACTTAAATATTTGTTGGATGAACCCATGAACTATTATGGGTTGAATTGTTGCCCTCCCAAAAGATATGTTAAAATTCTAACCCTCAGTATCTCAGAATCTGACGTTATTTGAAAACAGGATCATTGCAATTATAATCAGTTAAGGTGAGGTCATCCTGGAGTGGGGTGGGCCCTTAACACAATCTAACTGGTGTCCTTCTAAGAAGAGGAGACACAAACAGATGAGGGGGGACCACCATGTGAGATAAGACACTGAAGTGCTGCAGATGCAAGCCAAGAAATGCCAAGGATTGCTAGCAAACCATCAGACGGTAAGAGGCAACAAAAAGTTCTCCCCTCCGTGTGTCAGAGAGCATGACCTTGCTATAACCTTGATTTTGGACTTCTGGCCTCAGAATTGTGAGACAATAAATTTCTGCTTGTTTAAATCACTCAGCTTGTGGCTCTTTGTTACAAAATCCCCTGAAAACTATGCCCAAATACTTGGTGAAACAATTTACACTTTAGGTGTATACAGTTTCCTGTGTCTCCCTATACCCCAAACCTCAACTCTTCCTTGAAAGTTAGGTTAAAAAAAATTAATCAATATGTGTGGATGTGGTAAGGTAACTTAATGTAATAGGATAGAATAGAATAAATGATTAAATTCACATATTTGAATTCAAACAAGGATTTGTACAGGACCTATCAAAACAACTGAGTGGTTCAGATTTGTTTTAATTCAGTACTTTAATTTGTCAACTATTCTGTCATTTCTAGCAAAATCAGGAGAGTTAATGAAAGGAAATAAAATCCAAGGCAACTTTAAAAAAACGGCAAATTACCCTTACGAAAAGTAAAAAAAATGAAAGTAATTCATTTATAAAATTTTACTTATTATTCCTATAGTTAATTTAAAAAAAAAACACCTCTTTTTGGTTATTTCAGTGAAAAAGTTGAGAATTACATGTTTATTTTCTCTTACACAGACTATAATTACCACGGGAGAGAAATCTGACATATCAAGAGATAGGTCTCTTTTTTCTCATTAAAAAATTCCTAGAAGCCAACCACTACTCAGTCTTTTGTTTTTTCAACTTTATCCCTAAATTCTGTTCATTAAACTAAGAGTCAGACTTTTTTTTCCCCAATTCTTTCTCACAAGTAAAGCATATACCCACACTTGCCAAGCCTTATGTTTCTTTAAGAACTATATTTGCAGATTAAATTATCTTGTATATAGAAAATCCTAAGAATCTACTAAAAAACCATTAGAATAAATTCAGTAAGTTTATTAGATTCAAAATCAGTATGCAAACACCAACAGTATTTGTAATGAACAATCAAAAAAATGAAATGAAAAACTCAATTCCATTTATAATAGAATCCCCCCAAAAATACATTACTCAGGAATAAACTTAATAAAAAAAGTCTGAGACTTATACTCTGAAAACTGTAGGAAATTACAAAAGATCTAAGTAAATGGAAAAATATCCCATGTTTTAAGATGGCAAACCTCCAAACTGATTTATGGATTCAATGCCATATGTACCAGGATTCCAGCTGAATTGCAAAAATTGACAAGCTGATTCTAAAACTTTATACAGAGTTGCAAAGGACCAAGAAGAGCCAAAACTTGAAGAATAAATAGGAGTACTCAAACTTCCCAACTCAGAACTTACTACAAAGCAAGATATATAGATCCATGGAACAGAATTGAGGGTTCAGGAATAAATTCATGTGCCTATGGTCAACTGATTTTCAGCAAGGGTGAAATCATTCAATGGAGAAATAATAGTCTTTTCAACAAATGGTACTGGGACAGTTGGATAGTTGTCACAAGCAAAAGAATCAAGTTAAAACCCTTACCTCACACCACATACAAAAATTATCTCAAAATGAATCAAAGAACTAATTATAAGACCTAAAACTATAAAACTCATAGAAGAAAACACATAGGGGTAAATGTTCATGACTTGAGGTTTGGAAATGGATTCTTAGATATGACAACAAAAGCATGAGAAAAACAAAAGATAAAATATATAAACTCGGCCTCATCAAAATGAAACACTTTTATCTCCTAAAGGGCACTAGTAATATAGTGACAGTATTAAGAAAAGACAACTGGGGTGTCTGGGGTGGCTTAATCAGTTAAGTGTCTGACTCTTGATTTCAGCTCAGGTCGTTATCTCAGGGTCGAGCGAATGAGCCCCGTGTCTGTCTCCGAACTCAGGGTGGAGTGTATTTGAGATTCTCTGATTCTCTCTCTGCCCTTCCCCCTGGCTCTCTCTCTCTCAAATAAATAAATTAAAAAAAAAAATACAACTGACAGAATGGGAGAAAATAATTGGAAATCCTCTAGCTCATAAAGGATTTCTATCTAGAATATATAAAGAACCCATAAAACTCAATAATAAAAAGACAAATAACCCAATTAAAAGCCGAGCAAAGGATCTGAATAGGCATTTTTCCAAAGGAGAAAAGACAAAAAGTTAATAAGCTCTTATCATCATACTGTAATTACAACTGTTTGCTTACACACTTATCTTCTATATTGGAGCTAGTTTTCTGAAGACAGGGAATATATATGTTATTCATCTTTAATTACCTGTTGTCAGGTTCTGGACTTGGCATGTAGCAGGGATTCAGAAAATGTTGCATGTGTTTGCATTTGAGACTTATATTTGGGATAGTGCTAAAGATAAGGATAGAATTAAACAGAAATACTTTGTAGAGATAAGATTACAAATCTTAAAGAAGAATATAAAGCAATAAAAATAAACAGCAAGGACCTATGCATAGTGCTTATTATATGCTAAGCACCATTTTAAATGCTTTAGATTAATTCAATTTTTGAACTAAGTAAAATAATCAATTACAAATAAAATGCTATGATTCAGATCAGTTGAGAAGCTCAGAGAAGGCAAAAATCATTATGCAGTGAAGCCCATCAGATAAAATTTTTGTGGGGGAAGTCTGTTGAATCCAGTATATAAAAATTGACTGGATAGTAGAAGAGCACGCATAGAAAGTAAATAGCATGTACAAATGAAGAGGAAAAAAGGAAAGGATGTGGCATATGTGCAATATAATAAAGAGGACCGGCTTCACTAAAAAAAGGTGTTTAGATAAAGACGAGGAACAGCAAAGATTATAATAAGAATTTGTACATGCTTTCATAAGCAAACTGGTATCATGTAAGTTCCTTACACCAAAAAGAAACAGCAAGGAAATTCAACTAGTTCAAGTGAAGCAGAAAAACAAATTCATACTGTTAACTACTTCAGGATGACAGTATTAAGGTGTGAATTAAGTTATGATGTGGAAGCAGAGTTCTGACAATGGGAATGAAGAAGGCCTATACCTAAGAGTTATTCTGAACCAAGAACCTGATAAATAGGATATGGTGAATAGAAAAACAAGGAATCAAATGTACTTCTTGAGGTTTCAAGAATTCTAAATAAAACACAGGGAGGAACCATCCAGTGAATACCCCATCCTACCCCCAAAGAAAAAAGTGATAATGTAAATTATTAGGCATTGGGGGAAGAATAGGGAATACTGAACTTGGAATACAGATATAGAACTCTATCTAAGAAGCAAAGCAGATGAACTTTCTAAGGGCAAAATAGAACAGTGATTAAGATACTTATCAGAATTATCTGAAGGCTAAACAAACTACATTTACTACACTTCTCCTGCCCTCACCCAGCCTGAGAAAAAGAAAGGAGGGGGCAACAGTTGTAAATTAAGAGACATAACAATAAAGTATCTTCTGTGGACCCTGATGGGTCCTTATTTTGAACACTGACTGTAACAGACATCTCTGAAATAACGGGGGAAATATCTTAATAGATTAGGATATTTAGATGATCCAGAAATTACTGTTATGCTTTAAACCCTGTGGTACTTATGATTTAATAAATTCATAAATCAATTTTAAACTATTTCGGGAAAGGTCTGTGAACAAAGCAACTTGAGTTAAGGGCATTATTTTTAACTCAGAAATTCGTTTTATGGTCGGAGGGAATGAGAACCTAGATGAATAAGTTAGGGCTTGAAAAGTAGTAATGAGAGTATTTTTAAACATAATATATCTCAAAATAAAGTTTTAAATGTATGCAAGGAGAATCCGGAATATACTGGTACTTCTTTGATCTTTATTTTTGCTCTCACTAAATCAGAAGCAATAAAATCCCTCAACTCCCTCTTCCCCCAACAACTGAGTGTGCTTTCTACTATTGTTCTTTTTTTTATGGTTCGATGACATCCAGCTTGGCATTCCTTTTTTGGTGTGACTTAAGCTCACTAATCAGGCTAAGACTTACACTGGTCACTCGACGGTAGATCTGAGCGGCATTTTGGCATTCTGAGTAAGGGTATTCAGATGTGGCCATCTCAAGCATGCACATCCCAAAAGCATAAACGTCAACAGATTCATCGTATTTTTCCTCATACATCTCGGGGGCCATGAACTCTGGGGTACCTTAAATTAAAAGAACAATTCAGACTCAATGTGAGCAGAGGCTACAGATATTACTCACCTGGGGAAGAAGCAGAGGGGTTGACCTGTGAGATAGAAGCAAGTGGAAGGGGGGAAGAGAAGAGGAAAGAGTGGTGGGGGCAGGGAAGAGGAAGAAAATCTTAGTCTCTTTGCTGCATGGCCTTCATAAAAGAAACTAGAACAGGGTCAAGTGTCTATTTGTTTACTGTTTCAAATGGATTACTGTTATACAATGTCAAAATAGAGACTTGGATAAGAGAAAAACTGATATAACTCATAATGAAAACAAATGGAAGGAAAAGTAAGAGACTAGCAAGAAATAAAGAGGATATAATGGCATCTACCAATAAAACAAGGTGGGTTAAAAAAGATCAAAATACTTGTCTGCCCCCTACTGTATGGTAGCTGTAAGGTTAATATTTATAGCTAGTCTTTGGCCATTAACATTCCACCTGATCAGTTTCACTTTTAAGGAGGCCTTGCAGTGAAAAATCCAACATTCAATATGTTTTTTAAAAGAAAAAAATAAAGTGTAATTGTCTATAAAGGAAACTCACCAGAGTCCCTTTCTTCACCTACTTACCATACCACCTGCAGTACACAAATAAGTCTACTGCAGATAACAAGAAAAATAGTGAAGGACATCTTAACAGATCTTACAGACAAAAAAATAAATACACACAAATGGAGAACTCAAATACAGAGTGAGTTATGAGCATAGTGTGGTCCCACAGACCAGGTTTTCCAATGTTTCCAAAGAAATTAAGTCTGGATACCTCAAACTATAGGACATTTCCAAGAATAGGCTTACATACTATGATTTAAACAAAAAAAGAGGGGGAAAACTCTCTTGGGTTAGAGATTTTTAAGGAGCCAAAGCCAAAGAAATGTTTCCTTTTCCTGTAAGGAAGGCAAAAAGGAAATTCAGCTTTAAATAACTCTTTTCCAATTCTTCTTGTTAATCTATTTTAAGAAAATTTAAAAATAGCATTCCAAATCCAAGTCACATAATATTCCATGGAGGACACTATTTTATAAGAATGTACAAATTACTGGTGTTCTATGGTTTTCTTTTAATACATAAAATTCTAGCCCACTTAAAAATTAATGGTTTCCTTGCTGTCACCACCTTTGGGGGGAGAATAGAGTATTTGTAAAGATTTCAAGTTTTCAAAGTGCCATATCCTCTTCAGAAAGTGAAAGCTTATCAAAATAATAAGCATTAAATTATTTTTCCAGCTGCAACTCTCTAACATTTAGTTGAAAGTCTGAAAGGACAGCCTCATTCTTTACATCAGTGATTCTCAACAAGGGGGCAATTTTGTTACCCAGGAACATTCTGTTCAGAGACATTTTTGGTTGTAACAACTGTGGGGGAGCTGGAAAGGGGATGTGCTCCTGGCATCTAAATAATCTTATAATGCACAAGAAAGTCCTTACAAACAACAAAGAACTATCCAACCCCAAATGTCAAATAATATTGGGTTGAAAAGCTGTTTCAGATATATCTTCTGAAGAGCAGGAGTAAGAAAAGTTAAAACCAAGTTCTTGGAATAAACTCATTTTCACATTTTGAAACAAAGTCTTAACAGATAGAAACTTTTAAATACATATATATCTAACATTTTTTTAGAAAGTAAACTACATATAAATTCAATTTCTTTTATAAGAAAGTAACTCTATTAAGTATGTAATACTAGGCATCAACAGAATGACCCAATAAGATTGATAGTTACATAAGGTTTTGTCAACAAAGTTCACCTTACTTCTCTTCACGTAACTTTGTAACTTTACAAAACATTGTTAGTCTTCCAGATGATTCTAGAAGTATATCGAGAACTCCACATCTCAGAAGTAAAATTGATCACTTCCTGAGTTCAAGCTAGGAATTTTTGAAGGCTTATTTCACATAATAAAAGCTCTGACAGTGTCAGGTTTCTAAATAAAACGAGTATCAGAAAACCAGTTAGGATGCAAGGTACACCTGAAACATACCTATCACACTCTTGGCAAAAGAAGCCCGCTTCAGGGTTGCCAGACCTAGGTCTCCAATCTTGACTGAGCCTGTAGGGCCAGTGATAAAGATGTTGTCACACTTAAGATCTCGGTGAATAATAGGTGGAGTTCGAGTATGAAGAAACTGAAGTCCTTTAAGGATCTGACGGCACCAGCTTCTTAGAACTTTGATCTTCATCACCTTAAACCTTTTCAGGTACCTAGAAAAGGCAAAGCACACCAAAACAGGTTATCAATGATATGAGTTTACTGCTTTGAAGAATTCCATTAATTCTAGCATATCTGAGATGGGAATATCAAATTTACACTATTAAGATTCAGTAACCTTAAAAGTTAGTGATACTTTTAGCAAGGTTAAAGGGGAAAGGATAACAAGTGGTTGGCAAATGAATTCTCACAACAAAGCACAAAAAGTGAATTCCTTAAAACTGGGTAACTAATAAAATAACTTAGAAGAGACAGAAAAATAAACAACACCAATAAAAAAAATAAAAGTTAAGGGGGGTGGAATTTGACTTCTGGTAAATGGTGGAGTAATTCTTACTGGACACAGAACTGTAGTAAAAAATATAAAAACAACTACTTCAAGACTCTTGAGAGCAATCAAAATTAGGCCCAAATTGGAAGGGAGTTCACATGAGGGGAAAAAAGAAAGCACTGCTTGAGCTTCCTATTTTCTAAATCTTTTCACAGTTGAGGGAAGGCGCCAGCCTGAATGTGCAGATCAGCTCAATTCTAAATAGAAGCCTGTAGTCTTATTAGCTGAGAAATAGGAAGACAGAGTTCAAGATGACCACAGCAGCTAGAATAGTGCTGTCAAAAGAATTTTCTATAATGACAGTCTGTTCAATATAGTATTCACTAGACAAATATAAATTAAAATTTAAAATTCCATTTTTCAGCTGCACTAGCCATATTTTAAGTGTTCAACAGCCACATGTATCAAGTGGCTACCATTTTGGATAGTACAGATTATAAAATATTTCCATCAGCACAGAGAGTTCCAGTGGACAGCAGAGATCTAGAAAGTAAGAGAGGGAAATCCCAGGGGTGCCTGGGTGCCTCAGTCGGTTAAGCGTCTGCCTTCAGCTTAGGTCATGATCCCAGGGTCCTGGGATCCAGCCCCACATCAGGCTCCCTGCTCAGCAAGAAGCCTGCTTCTCCCTCTCTCACTCCCTCTGCTTGTGTTCCCTCTCTTGCTGTGTGTCTCTCTGTCAAATAAATAAAATCTTTTTTTTTTTTTTTTAAAAGGAGGGAAATCCCAGAAGTGTGGTATAGAAGGGAGCCCCAAATCCTGAATATTCATTCTGCCCAAATCTCTGGTTGATCTCTGAAATACATATTATGTGGAACAGATTCCAAGCAGCCCAGCTAATGCTAAAAGAATGGAACAGAGATTTCTGATGCTACCCACTGCTGGAAAGATAAAGTTTGTGGACTGGCTTCAGACATCTGAAAACATTCAGAATTATGAAGATATAAAAAATTACATTTGCCTCTTAGTATCTTTAAAATACACATGCCTAACTAAAGAACAATTTATAACACTGTATAATACGGTCTACAGAATACATAAATGTAACATATATAAAAATTATAGCACAAAGAAAAAGTATCAGGGACAACTGAAACTTTATCTGTAGCAAGCTTCCTTTACATGAAATTGTACAATATAAACCCAAAGTTTATTGTGAAAAGTTAAAGATATAAACACAATCTCAAAAGCAATTGCTTTTTAAAAAAAACAACAAAACACAAGAAGGTTTCGACTAAAAAGCTAATACAGGAACTAAAATGAAATTCTACTTCACTTGGATGAGGTAATTAAAAGAAAACTAATGGTGAAAATTGGTTTAAAAAAATATTGAAACATATTACCTCTGTAGGGCGAGGGAAGGGCTGCCTAGGAGCCATAGGGCATTTACTAAGATAATAAAAATGTTCTATACCTTAATAGGATTTTGATTACATAAGTGAATATGCCTTTGTCAAAATTCATAGAATGATACCATTATGGTTGATTACACTTTTCATCATATTTAAATTTTACTGTAAGGAAAAACAAAGCATATAAATATTATTAGAACTTTAATGAAATGAGCACTTAAGTGTTTACATGTGAAGCATACTGATGTCTACAACTTACACTGGAATAAATAAAATTAATAAAATGATCAAGTATATAAAATATAACAGATAACTATATATTAACCTTGTATCTTATAATTTCATTAAATTTATTTAGAAACACTGGAATTTTCTATGTGAACAATTACATAACCTGCGAACAAGGGCAGTGGTATTTCTTCCTTTCCAATCTTTATGACTTTTACTAGTTTTCCCTGTGTTTATGCCTTATTGCAATGGGTGGCCCTCTGAAACAATAGTGAATATAAGTGGTTAAAACAAGCATTCTTGCTTTGTTCCTAATCTCAGAGGCAATGGTTAAGTTTGACATATTAGTTATAGGCTGGGGAAGTTCCCCACTATTCCTAGTTTGGCTAAGAGTTTTTAGCCATGAATAGATAGATAATGAATTGTCAAATACTTTTGACATATTTTGAAAATATGGCTTTTCTCCTTTATTCTGTTAGTGCTGAATAACATTGATTCAGTCAATGTTAAACCAACTTTGTGATCCTGGAATAAACCCTCTCTGGTATTGATGTATTGTGATTGCTGGATCCAATCTGCTATTATTTTGTAAAGGATTTTTGCATCAGTATTCATGAAGGACATTGTTCTTTAAAAATTTCTTTTTCCATAATATCTTAGGTTCTGGTATTAGTGTTATGCTGGCTTCATAAAATGAGTTAGACACTAATTGTTCCACCTCTATTTTTTGAGAAAATTCAACACAGTGGATTTTCCCATTTTTTATTAAGATTACATAAAATTTACCATTTTAAAGTGATACTAATTAATTCATACTGTTATGAAATCATCACCACCAACTATCTCCAGAACTCTTTTCATCTTGAAAAGTGAAACTTCATACCCATTAAACAATAACTCCCCAAAACCAACCTCCGTTGGGTTCTGGCAACCACCATTCTACTTCCTGTTTCTATGAATCAACTACTCTAGGTACCTCATAGAAAGTGACATCAAACAGTATTGGTATGTGACTTTTTGTGACTGGCTTATTTCACGTTGCATAATGTCTTCAAGGTTCACTCATATTACAGCACATGTTAGAATTTCCTTGCCATCCTTAAGGATGAAAACTATTCCACTGTGTGTGTAGACAGACAGACAGACACACACACATTTTGCTTATCCATTCTTTCCTTGATGGACACTTGGGCTGCTTCTACCTTTTAGCTATTGTAAATAATGCAACTATAAATATGGGTATACAAATATCTCTTCAAGACCCTGCTTCCAATTCTTTTGGGTATGAACCCATTAAGTGGAAGTGTTCGGTCATATGGTAATTAAGTTGAGATATAATCAACATATAACATATTTGTCTCAGATGTACAACGTAATGATTCAAAATGATCTACATGTATTGCAAAACGATCACCACAATAAGTCTAGTCAATATGTATCAACACACAGTCACAGGTTTTTTCTTCTTGTGATGAGAACTTTTAAGATCCACTCTTTGCAACTTTAAAACATGTAATACAGCATTAACTGTAGTCACCATGCTGTACATTACATCCCCAGGACTTATTTTATAACTAAAAGTTTGTACCTTTTCACCACTGTCACCCATTACATACATTCCACCCCCGTGCCCCCAACTACAGCAATCACCAATCTGTTCCCTGTATTTATTAGTTCAGTTTTTTCTTGTTTTGGGCATTTTTAAATTTTTTTAGATGTCACATATGAGTGAGATCATACAGTATTTGTCTTTCTCTATCTGACTTATTTAACTTAGCATAATGCCTTCAAAGTCCATCCACATTGTTACAAATGGCAAAATTTCCTTCTTTTTATGGATGAACAATATTAATAATCCATCATATATATACACCACATCTTCTTTATCCATTCATGTTGTAAATAAAGCTGTAATGAACAGGTGGTACATATATCCTTTCAAATTACGGTACTTCTAATTTTAATTTTTTGAGGAACCTCCATATAGTTTCCCACAATGGCTGCACCAATTTACATGTCCATCAACAGCACACAAGGGTTCCTTTTTCTCCCCATCCTTGCCAACACTTGTTTTCCTTGTCTTTTTGATAATAGCCATTCTGACAGTTATGAGGTAGTATTGTGATTTTGACTTATGTTTCCATAATGACCAGTATTTGTTGGCCATTTGTGTATCTTTTTGGAGAAATGTCTATCCAGGTCCTTTGTCCGTTTCTAATAGGGTTTTCAATGTTGAGTTTTGGGAGTTCTCTATATATTCCAGATATTAATCCCTTTTGAGTTAAATGATTTGCAAATATTTTCTCCCATTCTGTGAGTTGCTTTTTTACTCTATTAATAATATCTTTCAATGTACAGAAGTTTTTAATTTTTACAAAGTCCAATTTTAAACACACTGGATTTTAAAACCTTTGATATATGGCATACATTTCAGACAATGCTAATAACAAAGTCACTTCTACTTTCTGGTAGAGAGTAGTAAGTTTTCTTTTTATTGATGAAGACAGTGAGCCCAAAGTTATACAACTATTATGAGACAGAGATGGCAAGTGAATTCTTAAGCTTGAACTCCTGCTACTGCCTGACTGGCTACTCAATCTCTAATGCATACATTTAATTAAAAAATAAAATAAACATTTAAAATTATATATTTTGAATCACATTTCATTTTTAGAAACCTATTTCTACAGAAATAAATAAGGACATAGATATACATGATTACTGTAGCCTTGTTTTAAAGAGGAGAATGTGGACAAGAAGAGATACAATTTGCCCATACAATTACAAATGGGACATTTACAAACCCAGAAAAGCTAAATATGGTGAGAATGAAAAGTGGTGGTAAAGATAGGGATATTAAGAACCACCATAACCAAACAAGAAAAGTACCATCAGGGCAGAAGACTGACTAAATAAATAAATAAATAAAGGGTCTCTCTAATACAGCATCTCTAAGTCCTTCATTATGGCTGACTCGTGCCCAATCACCTTGAAGAAAAGCCTAGTAGTTGAAAAGTCCTGCCCTCATAACCATAGCTCCTAATCAGCTTTTCAATGCTGAATTATCTAATATAAACTGACAACC